GAAAAAGAAAACTAAATCAGTACTATATTACATGTGCTATACTCTCTGTATTGTTATGCTCAGATTTTTCATGATAGTGTCTCTTTGTCAAAAAAATTATATGAGTACGTCAGTAGGTTGAGTTTGTTGCCGAAAAATTTCGAAGTCTTTTTCTTTTCACTTTTTCCTGAATTGTTACATTTTGTTCGCAATTTTTTAGTAGGTATACATACAACCAGGTGTATCATCATACTTGCGGAGGCAGAAGCTATGCGTCAAGGATTATTATCTAGCCGTAGCCTTGGGTGTCACAAGATTCTGATCCAATCTGATAGTCTAATAGTCGTGGAGGCACCGAATATGAATGAAGAGTGTTCACTTTTGTGGCAGCACGCCAGCACCTATTCTTGATTAATGTCGTAACTTGCTAAAAGAGTTCGGAAAAGTCACTATGGAGCATTGTATGAGAGAATCAAACATGGTTGCCCCAAGAGCTAGCTAGTTTTGGGAGCGGTGATCCACCAACTATGTGGTCGGATACACCTTCTAGTTTTTGCATTTTTCTTTAGCAAACGATATAAATGTGATCTAAGTTAATAAAGCTAATCATGGTCTTCCCTAAAAAGGAAGTGTATCTTGGTATTTTTCTGATTTTTTACAGCAGGTATTTTCCGTTGTTTGCAGTGCTACATTGTTATTGCTAATTATCAAACCGATCAACAATCGCCGGCATAGTAGTCGTGTACGCATCTCTCCTCCCTGGCGGCTGAAACCAGGAGAGGCCATCTTTCAGGCCGTCCTCCGGCGGCTCCCCTCCGTCGACGATCTCGATCATCGGTGGTGAGTGGGGTCGTCAGATCCATGTGTGTGGATTGTTTTACCCTTTTGTAGTCTAGGTTTTTAGATTGTCGTCTTGACTTCGGCAGCGACGATGACGGCACTGAATAAAGATTTTTTGGATCTTTCGCTGACAAGGCCATCGGTCTTATGATTGGGGATGGATTTGAAAACCAGTCTGTTCAAGTAAGGATGACGTGGCGGCGGCAGCATCCTCGTGATGGACATGTGTCCTCGGGCTTCGCCATTGCGACGACGTTTGCTCCAGCGTCGACACGGAGCTTGGAAGTTAGTTCAGGAGTGGATGCAGATTGTGGTCTACATCGGCAACATCTGGAAGACAAAACATGTGTTGGGTTTGTGGTTCGTGGATGGCAGGTATGGTTTCCTCTTTCGGGATCTTAGTCGTGGTGGGGTGGCAGATCTGGAGTTCGATGGCGTGTCCGGGGTGTTGCCCCGGTCTGATACGTTCAACAACAATGACTTTATTTTTGATGAGTCACCTTGGAAGGTCCGCAAAGTTGCATATCAGGATGGAGCCGCGTCGAGGTCGATTGAGGAGGCGATCCATCATTTTTTTTATGGATGTTGTGGTAATGCTAAAGGCAGATGACATGCGTTAGTGTCAAGCTTAGAAATGTTCTGCTATCTTTTCAGTTTTGTTATGTCGGTCCTTACGTGACTTATATTTTATTGTTTATGATATGAACGAGACATGTATTACCATGAAAAAACCCGATCAACAATCACGAAACAAATATTTTGGTTTTCGTTTTTTCGAAAAAACAATCACGAAACAAAGAATTAAAGTATACCCCTAAAAAACGAAACAAAGAATTCAAGTGTGATAATTCGATCGTCAAGCTGCGCACGTCGATCACGTCCTGGCCCTCCTACAGTTAACGCGGACCTTTCCAGGGTTGCCGCCGCGGATGGCGCCCATTCTCCCCATGGCAACCGCGAAGCTGCTGAAGAAGGCGGACGGCGCGGCGGCCCTGAGATCCCTGACCCTGGCCACGGTCCGGGGCGAGTTGAGCGCGGCGTCGGACTCGAGCACGGTGCGGTTGGCGAGCACGTTGGCGTAGTAGCTGGTGTCGAACCCGTAGGGGCTGCCGGCGTCGAGGGGCACCACCCTGTTCGCGTCGTAGCCGCACTGCCGCCTCAGCTCGTTCCTGAACGTGGCGTTCATGCCCTTGTCCTGGTCGCTCATCAGCCGGTAGTCGAAGGTGCCGCACCGCGTCACCCCCAGCGTGTGCGCGCCCGACAGGACCACCACGTCGTCCATGGAGAGGCCCTTCCTGAAGAAGTACTGCGCCAGCAGGTCAACGTTCCGCTGCTTGTGAGGAGGGAGGTCGCTGTTCGCCATGCTCGCCCGCGACACCGTGCCGTCCGGCCTCCCGCCGGGGACCTTGTACTCGTACCCGCCGGTCTGCATGCATGCATGCGAATCCCCAATTATTTGGTCGATCGTCAGTGATCGACATCACAAGTCGTTGAACCTGACTTTGGTGCACGTACCGCGACCCTGACGCTGTCCCTGGCCGCGTAGGCGAGGATGTCGGCGCACGACACCGTCTCCTTGCAAACGGCCTCGATCCTCGCCTTGGCCCTGTCGATCACCTCGAACCCGCGGAGGCTCCGGTTCGGCGGCGCGTTCTTCTCCGCCTGGTTGTCGCCGGACTCCAGCAGCACCGACCCGTCGCACCCCTGCCACGCACACGCACACGCACGTTGCAGTTGATCAAAAAACTGAGCACCGGATCGTATGCACGCACCACAGCGATGGAGACCGGGACGTGCTTAGTGCAGCCTTACATTGACGAAGCAGTCGTGGAAGTGCAGCCGGAGCAGGGCCGCTGGCATGCTCCTGTCCGCATTCCACGCCTTCTGGACCTCCTCGAACACGATGCTCTCGGCTCTATTGCACGTCTGGTTGTAGTACCCAGCCCTGAGGGTCTGCGCCTCGGCCACGCTGGCGGCGTGCAGGAGCAGCCCCGCCACGACCACGACGGCGACCAGCACTCCTCTCATCGCCATCGTCTCCAAGATCACCGCCACGGTGAGGCGAGATGGCCGGTGCAGCTCTTGGCTAGCTAGTACCGGGAGCCAAGGAGGAACTCGACACGGTGGTTTGGTTTTAACGACGTGCGGTTAGGTGCATATATACTACTGTACGAGTCACGAGAGCGCGAGGGGAGCTGCTAATTAGGACGAGGATGCAGTGCGAGGTCGTAGTCGAGGATTCGTGCGTGCATTTGAGGCGCGCACGAAGCAAATGACGAGCTGTCTTATCTCGTTTTAAATTCGTGGTCTGGTCTTCGTGATCGAGGCGTCGAGTACGAGTAGGCCTCCCCCAGGACATGCGTGAGATGCTATACTTGCAGCTGGCCAGGAGGTAGCTATCTAGCGGCGTTGAATGATGAACGCGACCGTGTCCCGGCCAACCTAGACATGCTGTCGTGTTTAGATCCCGCGGGATGGAATCTGTATATCATCGTGCAATAATTATTATTTTTGACAATCAATACCATAATATATTATTGTAGCAAATTGTACATGGTAGAGATATGTGAGCTGACTACAATAATTATAAAATAAAGTCTAAAATAAACGAGCAAATCTTCGAGATCTTCAAACTCCTTTTTCTTTCATGACACAATCTTGTACTTTTCCGAAGGCAGACGTATGAACATAATAAAAGTATCAAACCACACACATGTAAATATCAACGAGGGTTCTCCCGTTATTTTAATTTGAACCGCAATGCCGAGGCTGAGATGCACGCACGCCGTCATTACACTACTAGAAAAATATCTACTAGTGGCGCACCTGTTTTGCCTACTAAGGGCATGTACAATGGTTGATAAGATAGTCTTATCTTAAGTTTTGCATGTAAATTAGAGATGATAAGAAAAGATGTCTACAATGAGTCATCTTTTAGTCTTATCTTAGGCTTTCTCTCTCCTCCACCTCATCATTTATCTTATGTGGCATTTTTAAGATAGAACCATTGTACATGCCCTAATGGTGCACTACAGGTGCGCCACTAGTATCACGCCATTAGTATTTTTTACTAATGGCGCACCATGCAGTGCGCCATTAGTATAGCCCACGATGCGCCATCAGTATGCCTCCTAGGGGGCATATTTATCCATATGCTTTGGAATACTAATGGCGCACTAGTGGATGATGCGCCATTAGAGTCCTTTTTGCAGTGCGCCATTAGTGTGCTGAGTGGTGCGCCACTAGTATGAATATTAGGGATTTTTTTCTTTTCTGATATTTGCACAGGTTACAAAACATATTACTGCACATAATATAGAGAGCACAACATATAAACAGCAGATTTATCGAATACAATAGAAGATTAGTCTCCGAATACAATTCATCATATTAGTCTTCGAATTTAAAATACCGAACAAAGTTAGAACACTACAAGTCTCGAAACCGCGAGTAGCGAGTTTGTCTTCACATTACAAGTCGATATCGATCATCTAAACTACCATCACATAGAAGAGAGCTGCGGTCATCATGATGAGCATCATCGCGATGAAACTGGTCTTCATCTGGTTTCTCCAACGCTCCCTCCTCTCTCCCGCTAGATAGTGCGCGTATCTAACTTCCGCCTCCGCCCTAGTGGTGTACCCTTTGTAACTGTTACTGCTAAAACGGTGAACCTGTCTCCGACACTCCTCCCAGTCGTCGTAGACTTCGGGAACCTTACCCTTGTACACGACATACGACGACATCTCTATGCACTAGCCAAACAAAACGTTAGTAACAATTCACAGACAATACATAAGCAATATATAAGTATGCAACAAAAGGATCGGAAGAGAAAAGCAACACATTAATAGCACGATTCATGGTCCTACTAATAAATAGCATTGATTACATATAAGTTGAACGATTGTCCAAACCAAAGAGACATGTAAGTTCATTAAAGTTTAATTACAACATGAGCCAATCGATGTTTCAGAACTACACATAGCATCACTACTTTCGACTCGACTCAGGGACCGGAGCGTGGATGAAGCCGCCGTCTCTCGTGATGGTCATGAAATCGCGGGCGTTGTCAGCCTGCATTTTTAGCATTGTGTCTATCGCACTGTTGGACGGTTGATATCTGAGGTAGAACTGCCCTGAGGTACGAAGGACATCTTGATGGATGATTTCCGCAAACTCTGACTGGATGCGAAAAAATTCCTGTCTGATGTCCGCGTCCTGGATTGCCGACAATCTTGTGGCCCAATCTTTGAGATTATTTGATAGCAGAAGGTGATTATGGTCCCGTATGATCGCCCGCATGTGATGGAGGCATAGTAGGCATCCTTATGACCGTCAGGCGGCTGCTTGACACAGGGGAACGTCGTAGTGTGGGCGAACACGTGCTTGCCATACCTACGAACTGGCCTGGTGAAGGTGCCTCCAGATCTGGCGTACCCGGGGAGAACATCATCAAGAACTTTCTCGATATTTGTGTAGTCTTTCTTCAACTGATGGTCCGAGTCAAAATACGTGGCCATGGAATATTTCGGGCTTAAGAGGATGAGTGTGCAATGTGTGTCACTGCACAAAACACGGAATGTTAGAAAAAAAAGAACGATCGAAATCTAAGAAATCATATGTTACGGGGCGGTGAGGGGATGACTTACTCGGAAAAGTAAGGCACGAGAAAGTTATCCTTATCTGGGTTTGCCAGAATGACGCCTTCGAGGTAAGAACTCGTGACTTGTCGGTCCCCAGCGTTGCCCAAGATCTTGGCACGCATGTAGAAGGGGTCAACTATCACGATGTCCGGGGTCTTGTCTCTAATGATCCGCATCTCCATACTCAGCAAAAATAGCCGAACGAAGGTGTAGTGCAGCGGATGAAGGTTAAACATAGCGAAGATATCATCAAACCACAGGATGATCGTACCCCTGACGGCGTTATCCACAAAGCCCTTGCCCTCTGGCACCTTGGCCACGAAAACCGGGTATGCCACATCATTCTCGGAGAGACGCCGCTTCTCCAAAGAAAGAACACAGTCATGCAGACTCCGCATAGCACCGGTTGCAGCATTGAGCAGATTAGTCGGTAGCATCGGCCTACCCGCCACATGCACCCTCCTCGAGATATCCTTAGGTGAAGGTGGACTGTCCTGAGCACGGATCGTACTCAGTGCCGGCTGGCTGGCACCCTTGTTACTCTTTCTTTTCCATCCCTTCTTCTTCTGCTGTAATGGGATCGAGTTCTGCTCACAGACCGCCTTCTTGAGTGTGTTGGGGTTGATAATATTTGGCACCTCGGCTATCTGAGGCTCGGTGAAGGCGGCAGCTGGAGGCGTCTCCTGAGAACTGAACGCCAGACAACACCTGTTGCAATTTGGTTTCTCCGCGGTACCAGCATGATCGCGGTCGTCTTTTTCAGGGTTGGGTTCTTGAGAAGGAGGCCCAAAGAATTCGTCACCGTACCCATGTTCGGCAAGGTACTTATCGACGTTGGTAAATGTACCGTCGTCGTTGTCGTTGTCATCCGGATCTTGTGCCATAGGGATGTCCGGTAGCGTTGCGGCAGTCTTGCCATGGCTTGGCGCCGGCACGACTGGCGGTGTTGTTTGTGGAGTGGTGTCCCTCGCCCCCAAACGAATCTGGCTCTTCGGCCAAAGCGGGGGCCAGCTTACGCAGGTGCTGAGGGTCATCACATCATCTTTGTCGGCCCCAGCGGGTCGAATCGGAGGTAACAACTCGTCGCAGCCTGGCAGCACCTGAACCAGTTCAACCCTATACACGGTGGGTGGCATCGGATTACCGTGGAACACGGGATTGCCTGGTTGAATGATTCTGCCCTTGGCGACATCGATCAACTCGCCGCCCACGAAGTGTAGGAGAGTGCATGGAACATCGGCGGCACCCTGCGAAAACATGTAGGGCGTCAGGGATGCCCTGTCAAAGGCAAGGAGATGAAGTCATCGGCCGAGAGACTTAATTAGTTACCGTGATGGCGTCGAGCTTGGCTAATGTTGAGGCACCGCCAACGGCGGGCGTGCAACTGACGGAGGGGCCGCTTGCTGCCGAGGTGCCGGTCGGCGTACACCCAGGTGCATTAAGCTCCAATGCCCGTGCCGGCGTCGGAGACACCAATACCTCCTTCGCCGGAGACACCAATGGCGCCGCGTGCGCGTTGTGCGAGTTGCTGGCCGTGAAGCTGGGAACCGGGGGCGGCCCCTGTTGGCCGTCCGCAATCCACGTCGTCAGCCCCTGAATCAAGGTAGGCACAATGGCGGTGAGCATCGATCCCAGTTGTTATTGCACTTGCTCTTGGACAATCTCCGGAATGTGCGCCACTTGTGCCTTGAGTTCTTGAACCTCGCGCGCCTGGCTTTCCGAGCTGGTCTTTCTCTCCTTGCGCCCACCAGCGTTATAGTATGACGACCATTTTGTGGACAAGCCTTTGTCGGCCACACGACCAGCTGACGACGGCTTACCGAGCTTATCCTTGTTTTTCATTATGTTCAACGCCCTATTTAGAGTCATGTCCCAAGGGGTGCTCTGAGACGACCCCGCGCTACTGCTTTCAGTCTCCTGCGGAAGGAATGTGAACCATTTAGAAATTTGGCTTCATTAATTAGAATGCAGCCATATGGAGCTAATTACGCGGGGGTGTATTCCTTACCAGAACAAGCTCAAGCGCCCTGGTCTTCGGATCCGTGGTAAGCGCCTTTGTTACCGGGTCCTCCTTGTACCAGGCCCTGACATAGTTCCTGGTCTGCTTGTCACGGTATTTCTCGAAGCGGGGGGGGGGGTAGGCCTTGCTCGGCACGCTCAGCGTCCTCCTTGTCCCATATAGGCTCCGCCACTCTGTAACCACTGGGACCGAGTTTGTGTTCCCCTAAGTTCAACTCCCGCATTTCTTTTCCCCACTGACTTGATTCGGAGGTTGCGCTGCTCTCGCACTTGATCTTGAACTCCTTGTAGTCATCTTCGATGATCGAAGGATTTTCCGTCTTGATCTTCTCATAACTATCACCTTTGTCAATCATTCTCTTCACCGCG